CACACACACACACACACACACACCCCATTTCAAATACACGCGTCACTCTGGAAATCATGGTCTAGAATGAAACTTCATATCGACCTTTACGCCTAATTTCCACATCCAACCAGAACTGAAACATGTTTGGATACAATGTACCATGAAGTGGTAATATACTACGAAGTCTCCTAAGGGTCCTTATTTTTTAACCAATGAAGTCGCCTTCTATCACGAAGTAGTAATTCTTATCCTATGAAGTGGTAATATACCATGAAGTATCTTAACACACGTCTTTTAAAGCGATACCCCACCAGTGCTTGAACTGAGTAGTGATGTTTCGCTATGAATGACGAAATATGAAAGCTACACGACCGTGCCGCAATCAGTCTGTACCAAACAAAGCCTTTCCTTGTTGTTATTATATTGGATTAATAACAATGTGCTTTTTTTTCTCTGTTCAAAGTGGTTTGTGAGACATAGACGCCTCTTTGCAACCCCACAAACGAAAATACGTGCACTTTTTTGTTTTGATATTTATTTTTATGCTATAACATTACGTAATTTTAATTGATGTAACATTATTTAATGCTATATAATAACTAACACCATTTTTTACTAGAGGGACCTTTCAATAAAAGCAGCCGCTATCGGCCAAATTTCGAACACTACATTTGTGTTTTTCCTTTATTTATTCTTTCGCTTGGGTTAATGAGGAGACAAATACATTTTCTTGTGATGCATTCCATAAAAATCCTCAGTACGTCTTACAGAATATCTAAAATTCCTTAAATCACTGGTGATTAAACAATTGATTTAGTAACACTGGCATTTATAAAAACCAAAATCTCAATACGCAGTACAGGGCCGTAGCCTGAGCAAAATGCCAGGGGGGGGGGCAGTAAGCGGACACGAGGGGGCGAGGGTTTGGTAGGGGGTGTCCCCCTCCCACGGTGTGGAACATTTTTAAAAACTGTATGTATAATACTGCATTCTGGTGCACTTTAACTGTTATTTATTGCTCNTTTTTTTTTTTTGCCCCCCAAAACCCCGTGGGGGGGCTTCTTCCCCCCCCTCCCCCCCCCCCCCCCGGAGGCTACGGCCCTGCAGTATAACTGGGTAAAATAGATCCCTATTGTTTTAAGATACTCATACATTTGACCTTTGTACACGTAGACATCTTTATGTAAGTTTTCAATTAAGCTTTTTCAACATTTGCCTATCATGTTAATGTATAATTAAGGTTTGATTTCCACCCATTCGTGCTGCAACATATTCTATTTTTAGTTTCACGACACTTTACTTTCTTCATTTATCATTCCTAACTTAAAATAAAATTTCTTCTAATCGCTGTTAATTATTTTATCACTGTTATGTTAGCCAAAAACTAAGTTGACATTGGAGTTTGTCAAGAGGCACATTTTTAGTAAACTAAACTGCATCCTATGTCTAGCTCTTATAGGTATGAGAAATATCTCAAGTAAACTAGTGACCGGAGACTATAAGACTTGAAAAAGCGTGCTAAATATAAGTTAGAACATTGCTTGATCGAGTCGGACCATAGCGACTCATTAATTACCAATATAAACATTTAGATGAAAGCGGCCGTTGAAGTGCTGTTTTTGAAATGAGCAGTGAAGAAGAAGAGGACCGTATTGTCAAGGTACCGGATGGCAATGGACACACTATTACCACAAAGGACGTGGATGGATTATATAACCTGCCACCGTTCCCAAGGCTCACGACACGCATGCACAACTTGAAGAACTTCCAGGCCAGGGAAACTGATGTTGTCGTGTGTGCTTTTCTTAAATGTGGTCAGTACACCTACCGGGTATTTCAAAGTGGGCCTACAAACTACATCTTTCTAAATAGTGTGCAGGGCAGAGAGAGAGAGATAGAAAGAGATAATTTTACCATTAGATATTCATAGATACGTGCACTTCTCCATCTAGTCGTATGCAGTGCACGCCTATCTGTTATGTGGTCCTGTGTTGAGATGTATATGTAAGATCCGTATGTATAAGGTTGGTAACTAGGCTTATGTAATCATTCAGGCACTGACCCTAGCCGATAGCAATCATGACCGTTGAGGGTAAGACCTACTTTTTCCACTGAGCTATATAGATATAGCTATATACCGGGGTATATAGACCCTTGCTTGTTTTGACCTCCCTCCACAAAGAAAGAAAGACCCTTGTTTATAGTACATTACTTCAGTAGGACTTAAACATTGAGAGTATTCATTCCTTAGCTTTGTCAAATTTTAATCTTAAATATGATTTTCACTCCTCATACCGTTGCTTAAACTAATAAAGTTCAATATTGTTGACCCGATCGTCCCGCAGTTTAACGGCTGTGTTATTATGTAAGAGATTTATCTATAAGGAGCATCCGCGCTCGACGTCCCAAATAGATTTTAACCTTAATCAGACCAAGAATTTTAAAACTCCTTGAGAGGACAAAGTGTAAAAAATTTAACACACTTTATATATTAAAATATATAAATCGCCGTTTTTAACGTCTATCTACGAAGAGTTATTCTTTTTGACAGATAAATGCCATGAACTAATATCGCCAAAAATAATCTATTTTATCATCTCCTCACGTATCTCGCCACTTGTTAATCATCTTGGCACAGTTTTAATATCGCACAACCAGTGCTCGAATGTTTGCGGCATTCGAAAACCCCACGCTTACACTCATTCTCAATATATAGGTCCATTTAACATTTTTATTTCATTAAAAGTAAGCTAGCGGAATAATTGTTTGTCCAAGCGGAATTTTACTAACATCAGTCTAGCAATTTAAAAAACAAAAATTAATAATAATAAATGCTAGAGTAATCTATTATCGCACACGCACACACACACACACACACACACACATATATATAAACGACCTTAATTAAAAACCTTTGTTACTGTCGCTTGCAGTGCCATTTTTCCATTTCTACTTTCTCCCTATTCCAGGCACTCATTGGTTGTGGGAAGTGGTGTCCATGATTATTCACGGCGGGGAAGCCCGCCTATCTGACGAACCTAAGGAGCACTATTTCTTAGAAATGGTCGACATTTCCGCCCTAGACAAGTCGCCATCCCCACGAGTGCTCAATACTCATCTTCCAGTGGATTGGATACCCCCAGAGATTTTCAAGAAAAAATGTAAAATCGTGAAAATTTTCAGAAATCCCAAAGATGCGTACACGTCTCTGTATTATCATTTGAAGGGTTTAGCTACACGAGAGTACACGGGCACGTGGGATGGTTACTTTGAACTGATGATGAAGATGGAGTCCAAACCCGGTGTCAGGGGTAAATGTCTTTTCCAGGTGTGACAGAAATGATAGTCCTAGGAATGGAAGCCCGGGTCCGATATGATAAGTACAGGTTAGGGTTAGTCGGAGTATTGGGGTGACAGGGGCGGATCCAGGTTTATTTGAAGTGGGGGGGGTCTGCGGATACGAAGCTGACCCCCCC